GTGTGAGGTTGCCTGAGAACTTTCCAAACAAACTTAATGCTTTATTGCAAACCAATTTCTGTCATAAAAAGCTGGCTATGCTTATGTGCAGGGTTACATCTGGGTTGCAGAATTACTCAGAGTCACTAGATGGCAGCAAAAGAGAAAACCTCAAATGATTTGCCTGCAGTTATCAAAGTTTTTCACTTTCGCTTATGATCATCTAGTGGTTTTCAAAATTTTTGCAACCTAGTTCTGGTAAGCTAATATATGTATATTTTGCGTTATGTGTGTTTGTGTTATGGGGTGGAGTACTATCTCCTCTTCTATCCTCAACGTAATAATCATAGTAATTCTTGGCATAAGAGTGCAGAGTGCTTTACAATCCTTTTTCATTCACAAGAATCTTGTGATGTAGGCCACAATATAATTATTCTTATTTTTAAATAGATCTTGAAGACTATTATATACAGAAGCTTTCTCAAAATAATCCAGGCTTTTTATACCCTAAAGCAACATTTAGGGTAATTCTAATGCACTGTGCTACAAAAATTAAACATATTTTTGTAAATTTCCCTAATGGGGTAGGAAAGCAATATATAACAATTGCTTGTGCTTTACTAGAGGCCAAAATGGCAGAAGGAGAGTGGTATACCCTGAAAATTAATTTGATCACCATGCTCACTCTGTTGCACCTGCAAAGAGTTAAGCTAAGAGTTTATACTGTCAATTAATATATGCTCTTAGTGCATAAGTGCTACATCTGCAGATTGAGCAAAGATTTCAAATAGGGATTGTGTCTTTTAAGAGCTGGTATAATGTGATGTATAACGTGTTTAACTGAGTTTGGCTAATTAGACCTCATTCAGATCCCTGTTTACACCCCACTTTCCTTCAGGAAACTGAAAGTAACATACAATGGCCAAGGAACCCCTGTTTTTATCCCTGCAACAATTGTATGAGGTAGGTTCAGCTGAATAAGGCTGACCCAAATTCATCCAGTGGGTTTCCATAGTTGAATGGAGACTTAAAGCCAGTTCTCCATGATTGTGTTTCTCAGCCTAAATTTATCAAATAAGAATGTTGTAAGGATAAATTTTTACATGCACGGAGAAGGAAACAGTCCAAGTACAGTAAGTTTGTTTAAGAGAAGCCCATAGGATTGAAAGCAACACTCTAATCTAAACATTAGAACATAATTGGGAATAGTTTATACCCATTTACAAGTGAATTAGAAGCTCTTTAGTATTTGCTGTTAAAGTATCGTGTGGGTATGTGGCTGGCTTAAATAAGAATCTAGGAGAACAATAGGCTCAATTTATATGAAGGGACTATGCTAGTTTCTTGTAAAAGAACAAGGAGTTATAAAAACCACAATCCTTCTGATGGAGAGACTCTGATAAATCAACGCTTATGGGATAATACTTGGTTAGCCTTGTATTGGTACCTATTTTTTGAAAGCACCAGAAAGCAAGACAAACAATGGATGAAAATTAATCAAGGAGAAAAGCAACCTGGAATTAAGGAGAAATTTCCTGAGAACAATTAACCAGTGGAGCGGCTTGCCTTCAGTAGTTGTGGGTCCTCTGTCACTGGAGCCTTTTAAGAAGAGATTGGACAGCCACTTGTCTGCAATGGTATAGAGTCTCCTGCTTGAGCAGGGATTTGGACTAGAAGACCTCCAAGGTCCCTTCCAACTCTGTTATTCTGTTCTGCTCTGAAATATTTTAGAGTTTTAGAATATAATGTTGCCTCCTGGGGAAGAAATGGCAAAAGAATCGACAACCACAGCAGAATGAAGAACTGGTGAGTAAACCGGCTCTTTGTAATTCCTCTCTGGACAAAGAAATGACTTGAGATGGCCCATAAATGCTCCAGACAGTTGATTCTTATGAAGATACTGCAAGACTGATCTCCAATAGGTTTAGAGCCAAGGGAATAGCTTCCATGCTCAACCCATGGTCAGTACCTTTAAGGAAATAGGGTTTGAGTACTTCCTTTTCTAATTATTTTTGGAAATTGCTTGTTAACTGGTTTTCATCTATTAGAAAACTGCATTACCAGGTTTTACAGCAACAGATGAATTTCCTTAAATCTATAGAGGAAGAAATTTTAAATACAAAGTTTTATAACAAACTTGTAATACAATACAAGGACTTTTTTTCTGAAATAAATAGCAAAATTGTGATTAAGACTTTGATTTTTTTAGAAAGTTACAAGTGGACTAAGAGTCCAGATGGACTTGAAATAAGATTTTGGAATTCATTATAAGAATTCCTCCTGTAGGGAAATACTTTTGGTTTTGAATTCTTGGAAAAAAAAATGATAGAATGAATCTTTAAAGGTTACGCTAGAGGGCACCAGAAGGAACTAAATATAACACTTAAAGAAGAACATTTAAATTTGACTTACGTACATAATGGAACAAAATATTTTTTGACTTATTGAAGGATATTTTTGAACAATGGATCCAGAAGCTAATATTAAGAGTGTCTGCCTCTATAAATAGATAGTTTAAAAGATGTTATAATAGAGGAACTAATTTTATCAGACAAGACTGAGACTGATCTGAAACTGAATTTAAAAGCTTCAAAAATGATACAGAAAACGATGCTATGCTGGACATACAAAAGAAGCAGATAATAATTAAAAGGGGTATACAGATAACAAAGCAAAAGAGTGACTGGGATAATCTTCCCATATTAAATTTACAAAAGAAGCTTCTTAAAACTTTGAAGACTTTTTTGAAGACTTTTTTGAGAAGAGACAAAAGAAAAAGACAAAAAAAAATTTGGGGGGACATTATTTGAAAGGGCTAAAGATTAAGATTGCTAAGAATTCAAGGAAGGAATATAAAGTTGGTTTATTTGATCCAGGCTAAAAAAATAGATATGTTGTTATCTCTGGTAACACTTAATGGATTTTTTTCTGATCTGGACTGAAATAATGACATTCTAAAAAAATTGTTTATGCATAAGAGATGGGATATGGGTAGAAGAGATCATTTGTTGTATTTTAAGAGGTGATACATTTTTCTTTATATATTTCTTCTTTACTATATTCTTTACTATATTCTTTTTCTATTTTTTCTATTTTTTTCCTGCACATTCTATTTTTCTTTTTTAGTTTTTAAGAAGAAACTGGACAGCCGTTTGTCCGAAATGGTATAGGGTTTCCTGCCTGAGCAGAGGGTTGGACTAGATGACCTCCAAGGTCCCTTCCAACTTTATCATCATCATCATCATCATCATCATCATCATCATCATCATCATCATCATCATCATCATCACCATTATTATTATTATTATTATTATTATTATTATTGTCAAAGTTGCAATTTTTAATAAAATTATTATTAAAGAATAGTATAATATTGCCATCTGAAGTTTTCGTTGTTGAAGAAAGCCTAGATTTTTTATCCTTGTTTGAATATAAAGTGCATTAAATAAGTCTGAAATGCTATACATTAAAAAAAAACCTGCAACAAAACAATATGAGGAAATTCCAAGAGGTGGATTGGGCAAGGAGAGACTATAGCCATCAAGTACAGGATATTTTTAAAGCTACCAAGAGAAGAAAGGTGGGGGAGGGGGAGAGAGATAATTTGATATTGTTACACAGAAAGTGATTTACAGTATACACCAAAAAATATCAACCCATTAAGCATAAAAACCATTTACAGCTCAGGAAAAAAATGCTGAAATGCATAATACAGTATTTGGAAATGCCTGGGTGCATATTGGAGGCCTATAGATTACAGCAGAAAAGTGGACTATTTTTTTAAAATATGGGAGTAAGCGATTATCCTAGTACTGTGAACAACCTCCCCTGTCTTTAGTTCAGGATGATGGCTGGTGCATAGGTGCTAAAGGCATAAGATGTTGAGGGAGATGGAGTATCCCTAAAGTATTAAAGTCCCCAGGAGAACATGATCTAATTTATTTCTAAGAATCAGAAGGGTCTAAGGCAAAGTTTAAGGTACTGAAAGGATGAGATGTACCACAAGGTTACCCAGATAAGAGACTAAACAGCTGGAGTTAGTGCCAATCCACTTCCTAATTAGTAGAAGTCCAGAGGGGAAACCAAAACATCCACTTGTTTCCTATTGTCCATTTTGCCTAGGGCAGTGGTGGTGAACCTATGGCACGGGTGCCAGAGGCAGCACTCAGAGCCCTCTCTGTGGGTACGCGCGCCATTGCCCCAGTCCTAGGCCTTCAGCTGGGTTTTATAAAACCTTTTCACTTTAGGCCTCCGCCACCATGTGCAAAAAAAAAAAAAAGGTTCAATCAGTCAATTTCAACTTCTCGCGCGAAAAAAAAGATCTTGCAAAGTTGGAATTGATTGATTGAACTTTTTAGTCCCACCCAGTCTGCTGTTACCACTGCAGCCACACCCAGCCAATGGGCCACACCCAGCCCATGGGTCACACCCAGCCAATGGGTCACACCCATCTGGCACTCGACAATGCATAAGTGGGTTTTGGGTTGCAGTTTGGGCACTCAGTCTCTAAAAGGTTCGCCATCACTGGCCTAGGGATTAAACCTGGGGTCTTATGCATATGAAGGGAGCGGTTTATTCATAAGCTATGTTTTCATTTCATACTCAGTAGATGATGTTACAGTGTCCTTGCTCTGATCCCAGAGCTTTTCAGTCAAGGACTGTGGGGTAGAATCAGGGGCAATGGGTGTGTGGAATTTAACTCAACCCTTTGGGTGAAAGAGCATCAGCCTAGAGCAGGAATGGACAATGTGGAGGTACAGTGGCCTGTACACAAGGAAGGGTAAAGGTTTGAAAGTAAGTGCTTGTGGATCATTACTGAGGTGTAACAGACTGCTGGGAAGGGCAATTTTCAGTGGGTCCAAACATTGGTTGCTAACACATCAGAAATGGGATGGAGGTTGTAGGACAGGATGGTAAAGTAATTGAAGATAGGGAAGAAGGCTGAACAAGAAGCCTTCTCCTCACTCCAGTGGATTATAACTAAGGCCCCATCATCACATCAGGGTGGAGGATGGGGTTCTCTATGACAAATCCCGTTGTTCTGGCACACCATACATATAGGAATCTTTCCCAGGCTCCTGTATATATTCCTCCTTTTTGTCCCAGTCAGCCGTCCAACCTCCATTGGCAAAACTGGTACTTTTAGTGGCCCCATAACCGCTGCCGCCTGCTCCTGCTCCCACGCGGGCAGCTTCATCTTCCTCATCAGCCAGTTCATCCTCGTTGATGAAGCCACATTTCTCTTCAGTCAATTCTTCTGGCTCAGCCCAGGGTTGCTTCTCCCCAGAAGCAAAAATCCCATAGAAGATGACACCACCATAATGTACTAGAGAGGCAATGAGGAAAACATACTGCCATTCTTCTCGTGTCTGTGGAAAATATAAAAGACCCATCATTCAGAGCTTATTTGAGGGATATCCCATGCCCATACAGGTAGTCCTCATGTTACGAATGGAATGGAGCCTGCCCATTCCATTTGTAACTCAAAAACTAGTAGGAGTGAATCTCGTACCTCACACGAGATCACTCCCTGCTCGTTAAAACGGCTCATCAAGTGAACATGAGGTATTTCAGGGTGAGGAAGGCCATGGAGGGTCTAGTGATGGAACAGGCCCCCAAGGCCTCCCCAACCCATTAAGATACTTCATGCTTCCCCCTCTCTTCATGCCCCGCCGGACTCACCTTGAAAAGATCTGTCTCTTCTCTGCCGTGGTTCCTGCTGCTGCCCGGATCTGAGGCTGGGGGACGCTTCTGCATGCCTCCGGGTGTCAGAGGCCTTTTCCAGGCTGCTGCTGCTGCCTGGAACTGAGGCCAGGAGACGCTTCTGTGGCCCTCCAGATGCCCAATCTGAGTGCCACAGGTCTTTTCCAGGCTGCTGCCGCCCAGATCTGAGGCATGCCCCAGCCTCAGATCCAGGAGGCAGCGCCTTGGAAAAGGCCTCCGGTGCCTGGATCGGGCCTCTGGAGGACCCCAGAAGCATTCCCCGGACTCAGGTCCAGGAGGCAGCAGCCTGGAAAAGGCCTCTCGTGCCTGGATCCAGTCTCCAGAGGGCCGCAGAAGCGTCCCCCGGCCTCACATCTGGGCGGCAGCAGCCTGGAAAAGGGCTCCAGTGCCCGGATCTAGCCTCCGGAGGCACGCGGAAGTGTCCCGACTTCGGTTCCGTTCTCTGTTGCAGAGAACAAAGGCCTAAAGTACTATGAGATCACGCGAGATCAGTAGCATGAGATCTCATCTCCCTAATCTTGCGTGATCTTGCATTACCTTAGGCCTCCATTCTCTGTGAACGCCCCAAAGGCCTGGAGCAGCCAAGAAAGCGAAGGATCTTGATCTTCGCAGGGCGAGTATTGAAGGCCTAGCGCCTAGGGAGACCAGGGGCGGGGGTGGGGAGGGAGGGAATAACCAGGGTGAATATTGCAGTGCCACTGTGGTTGCTTGTAAGGGTGAATGACTGCCATGATGCTGCAATATTTGTAATTTCGGGATTTGCTCGGGGGCACTTATCGCGTACCTTCGAACGTTTGCTAAGGGAACGCTGGCAACTTGGGAATTACCTGTATTCTTCAACCAACAGTGGACACCCTCCCTCTGAAAATCCCCTTTTCTTACTAATAATTAAGTCATCATGGCGTATACTGCAGCCTTGAAGGAGAAAAGGATGAGGTTAGTTACAACCAAGTAGAACGGATAATTTATAGGATATACACATATCTAGATATAAATATTCAGAAAGTAAACACTTAAGATTGCAAAAGTGAGGTACATAAAGCACCCCTTCATTATTTCTAGAACCAGTCAGAGTGGATGACCAATATTTTGTGCAGCTCCATAACAAAAGTTATAAAATGCAAAGAATTAAAAGGAGCAGTAAAGGTTCCTTTTACTAACATAATACAGGTAGTACTTGACTTACAATCACAGTTGACCCCAAAACTTCCATTGCTAAGTGAGGCAGTTGTTAAGTCAATTGTATCTCATTTTATGACATTTTTGCCACAGTTGTTAGTTAAGTGAATCACTGCAGTTAGGTGAATGGTGCAGTTGTTAAGTGAATCTGGCTTCCCCTGCCAGCTTTGCTTGTCAGAAACAGTCACAAGCAGTGCTTTTTTTCTAAAAAATAAAATAAAGGTGCCGGAACTCACACACGTCATACAACCCGCCTTGCCTACCCTACAAGGTTCCATCCCAAAAAGGTGCCGGAACTCCGTTCTGGGCGTTCTATGAGAAAAAAAGCCCTGCTCATAAGTGTGAAAAACGGTCATGTCACTTTTTTCAGTGCTGTTGTACCTTTGAATGGTCGCTAAATGAATAGTTGAAAGTCGAGGACTACCTGTAGACCAAAGCCAAGTAAGCTATCTTGTGACTTAACTTTATGTATGACCATCCTAACCTCTCAATCTAAGGCTCTTTTCCTACGGCAAATTAAAGTTCTCTGCATCCATTCAGCAGAAAATTAAATGAGCATGAAATTTGTGATTCCTTATCCGACAGATACTGCCAGTCACCTGATGTCCATCCAAAACAATGGGTAACAATGCCTGATGTAGGACATGCCTTTATGCTTAAGGACAACTTAATTTTATCTGACTCAAGAGATGAGGATGGGATGAAAGCAACGTCCAAAGATATTACCTGCACATTTTAGGTCATACTTAAATGGAAGTGGGGAAAGGCCCTATGTACAAAAAGCCCTACACAAAAATAAGAATTGTGAGGATAGGAAGTACATAGAATAATTTTTTTCCCCACTTTCTAGAAACCATTTCTTACCTTATGTTTAGTCATTGCTCCAACAATGAGTGGGCACACCATGCCTGACAGGGTCCCCACACCATTGGAGATGCCCATCAAGATACTGGCATATCGGGGGGCAATATCTAAATGGTTGACATTGAATCCTGGAAGTGGCGGAGATAAAAATGAAATGAGTACGATACACTCCCTGGAAATTTATATAATTAGATTGCTTTTGGCAACACAATTGCAGTTTAATAAAAGAACTGTTAATGTTACTATGGTCTTCTTCAATCTAATAATACAATCAGCCATCTAGAGGAGTTGTACTTCAGTTTCCATAATCAGATTGGAGAAAACATCCATAGCACTATCTAGCTTCAGCTGATTGGACCAGGATGGATGAAGGGACAGCGAGCATTTAAAGGGGGGAGAAAAGCATTTTAAGGTGCATAATCAAATCTGCAAAATTCATTGCATTTCTATTGATCTATTAGGACAAGCATATTATGCAAACTAATTCTGGGAGCCATTAAATAATTAGTTCATTTTAACACAAGCAGAACATGGTTCAACTATAGTACTAGATGGTGATAGTGGAACAATGCAAGAGGACATTTTATGTGATTGACAATGGATGAAGATTAGCCAAAGTGTATCATTTCCAGCTCCGTAATTCTTAGGTCTAAGATGTCCTGAGCGTGGTTTGCATCTTAATACTGCAAATCCTCATATTATTATGTTCCACATCTCTTTCTATAAATGCACTTAGAAGCACACTGAAACCTGTGGCACCTTTATGTATAAAGCCTTTTATCAATAGATAGTTGCACACATACAATAAAAAGTGGAAGCTGATTCACTTCAGATTATGGTACAGGAAACCTGTTCTTTTGATGCATCATTCACACATGCCTTTGCTACACTTGAGTAGAGTTAACCTTCAGGAATTTACTATGATTAGCCTTTTTCAGTTGCGTTCCTGTATTCTTTTTTGTTTGTTTCCCCTTTTGTGCTTTCTTGTTTTTAGCTAGTGGCTAAGACAGAATTTCTCAACCTTGGCAACTTTAAGATACATGGACTTCAGTTCTCTGAATTCTACAGCCAGCATGAGCTAAGCCAATGAACAATGGCGTTTTTTTTACAGAATGAGCAACACAAAATGTTTCCCAGGAAGTAGGCCCATGAGAAACGACTTATGGGTCTGAGGGACAGAGCAGAGCAAACTCCGTTTCTCCCCTTGCGTTATTTTGAGGCAATACAGCAGAATAAGAAAGAGTTGGAAACTGGCAAGGGGAGAGCAAAAATGAGGAAAGGATGGTGGCAAAATGGTGCTAGTGATGATACAGGAAGTTGAGGAAGGAGGGGAGTCTTTGTGACATGCTGCTGTTCATCCCAAAACATACATGGTGGGATAGCAACACTTATACTGTACCGTATACAGATAGTCCTTCACTTACAACCACAAATGGGACCAGATTTTCTGTTACTAATCAAAACGGCTGCTAAATGAATCATGCCTGATTCTATGACCTTTTTTGCCATGGTTGTTAAGTGAATCTGTGAAGTTGTTAAGTGAATCACGCCTAGGTTAATCAAATCTGCCTTTCCTCATTGACTTTGCTTGTCAGAAGTAGCTTGAAAGGTCACAAATGGCAGTCACATGACCCGGGGATGCTGCAATTGTTGTACATACATGTTGGTTGCCAAGTGCCTGAATTCGACCATGTGACTGTGGGGATGTTGCAATGGTTGTGTGAGGACTGGTCGTAAGTTACTTTTTCGGTGCTGTTGTAACTTTGAACACTTGCTAAAGAAATGGTTGTAAGTCAAGCACTACTTGTAGTGCTTTGGCATCTGAAAGCATCCCAAGTCAGGTTTAAGAAGTCTGGGCAAAACTTTTGGCCCACTCCTATTGGGCTCCTATCCAGGTAAACTTGGGAAAGGAGTGGATATTTACCGTAACCATGCCTAAAAGTCAGCCCAACTGTCCAAGAGCTTACCTGAAATAGCAAAGCCACTGAAACCCACAGCCAGGACGAGAAAAGAAATCGCCACCCCTCTGCTGTGGGAATAACCAACTACTAAGAGCAATGTGGCCTCCATGCCAAACCCTGACGAGAAATGAGAACCACACATGTAACTATGGGTTACAAATAATATTAGCTGTATTCAAACATCGCATGAAACTAAAACTAAAGAAATCGTATTATGGCTTAGCTTGCAATATAAGAACCCAGTCAAAAGACCCCCTGTTTAAAACCAATAATCATCATTGGCGTAAGACCAGGTGAGAGACAGATCATCATAGAGAAAATCTATCTGGGTGGTCTCCAAGAGCTGACGTTGACCTAATGGCATATAATCAATAAACCCAATTATAAATTCTGCACTATGTCAGTCATTTTAATACTTTGAGATTCTGAGATCATTTCAGATTATTCCGGAAGGAGGTTTTCTAAAGCTTCCCTATAACAGTGCTCTTCAGATGAGGTGGACTACAGTTCCCAGTACTCTCATCAGGAGGGCCATAACTATGTTGGCTGAGGATTTGAGGCATTGTGTTCCAACCCACCTGGAGGAGGATGTCTTGGTGTGCTTTTTTTTTAAAATGAAAGCTATTCTTTCACGCATATAGAAGTTTGGAAGTTTCTGGAAAGTTGTAGGAGAAAATCCCTCTCAAGAAAGAACAGACAAGATGTACAAGGCCTTTCACTCTGGTTAGGCTCAGGCTGTTGGAAACCCAGTGTGGACTTCGTTAAAGCCAGATGCAAAAATTTAACAGAGATTTTATTCTGTGAGTGCTGGAAACCTATCTTTTTTCCTCATTAAAGATTTCTCTGAATTGTCTGCAAAGTTTTTGGATTTGGAGGACCCGAGGCCCTTCAAACGTTGAATGAAAACTCATAAATGCTGACCGTGAGTGATATCAGCTGGGGATGATGGGATCAGATATATAGCATCAACCTTGATTGCGGTAGGCTGCCCATTTGTATTTTAAGGAATACAATGTGATTCTATAGCATTCCTTCCTCTAAAGCAGGGGTGTCCAAACTTGGCAGCTTTAAGACTTGTGGACTTCAATTCCCAGAACTGGGGAAGTCCCCAAGTCTTAAAGTTGTCAATTTTGGAGAGCCCTGCTTTAAAGAATTCAAATGCCTTTTGTTCATTGCCAAAACGACCCTCAGTACTCATCCTTTCAATCTGGGTATCTATCAATCTCATTTTTCTTAAAAAGAAAAAAGAAAAGAAAAAGATACTCTCTAGAGCAGACATGTCAAACACAAGGCCCGGGGGCCGGATGCGGCCCGCGAAGTGGTTTCATGTGGCCCGCGAAGCCATCCTGGAAACAGTGAGGGAACGGCCCCCTCTGCCTTGGCCCTGGCCCAGGCCAGCCGGAAGCCAATGTACAATTTTGTGGTGGCCATCTATGCTGAAACACATTCAGTCTTAGCTCCACAAGGCCGTCCAGAAACAGCGAGGAACCAGCCCCTGCCGCATTGGCCCTGCCCCCTGGGTGCATGCTGGGGAGGTGTCACCCTTTCTGAGGAATGAAGAAATACACCATGCCTTGGCACTTGTTCCGGTCCCACCTCCTTCTGCCAGAGACCCTCAGATCTGTCCCACTCCTGCCCAGGTCCCCACAGGCACCATTGACACGAACGATGTAGAGCTGGCCATGCCCACACAGTAGGCCACACCCACTCCATCCACGCCCACCCAGTAAGCCGCACCCACCCTGGCCACACCCACCCAGCCCCCCAAGGGCAACCGCAATGCTGATGTGGCCTTCAATGAATTTGAGTTTGACACCCCTGCTCTAGAGGTAGCTGCTCGATCCTAACCCTTGTCCCCACAGCTTGTTATGTGACAATGATGCCTTTCTCACTCACCCCCACAGTTCATCATCTTGCGGACATTGGTGGTAGTCATAAGTCTTCGCGAGCGCAAGAAGTCGGCAATTTGGCCTCCAATGGGTACAATGATGGTCATAACCAAGTGGGGCAAAGCAGAAAGCATCCCCACCTGTGTGTGTCAAAAGTAAAGAAAAACAATCAGCATCCCAGAGACCGGAAGGTATTAAAAGACAGCTGAGCAAATCCAGGTATCCCTTAGAACAGCGTTCCCCAACCTTTGAGGCTGGGGGGGGGGAGGAGAGGGGAACTACTCACACAAGAGAGAAGAGAAGCCTTTGGGGCGAGGTTTCACGCTCCTTCAGGCTTCTCTGTGCCAAAAGCTTTTGCAAAGGGATGGAAGGCCTGAAGAGATCGCTCCCCTGAAGCCTTTCATCCATTTTCAAAAGCTTTCGGTGTGGAGAAGAGAAACCTTTGGGGGCGCAGTCTCATGCTCCTTCAGACTCACCAAGGCTGCTCGACGCTCCAAAAGTGGATCCAGTGCCTTGCACAAGTAGCCTTAGTCAGTCAGCGAAGCTGAGCAGGGTGTGCTCATCTCATTCAGCCTCTGCTCTCAGTACTCCACTTTTGGAGCATCGGCTTGCCACCCAGCTGGACCGCTCACACGAGTGCAGCTGCGTGCATATACTGGCCCACGTGTCACACGGCCCAGTTCCAAATAGGCCACGGCCTGGTAGTGGGCCATGGCCCAGGGGTTGGGGACCCCTGCCTTAGAAAAAGAGGGGACTTGAGGGAGGCATTATCTAATTCCCATTCTTTTTCAAAAATAGATTTATGACATTATGCAATTAATTTTAAAAAAATAACTCCAATCCCACTTTCCAGCAGCAAAAACATGTTTTAAGAAATAGGGTTGCCAGGTCTGTTTCCAAAAAATAGCGGACAAGCACGGGGGGGGGGGGTGTTTAAGTAGTAAAAAACGTAGACTGTACAGCTTTAGATTACGTACCATTTCATCATAAAGCTTTTGAATAAAAAAAAATGTCCACTATTTTGTGAAAAAAAAATAGTGAACATAATGTGAAAAAAGTGGACTGTCCACTCAAATAGTGGACACCTGGCAACCCTATTAAGAAATAATAATAATTTGCCATTTTCTCAAATCTTGCTCTATCTAAATTTTTCCAATAGTGGATATTGATTTATATTGTTTATACAGTACATGCCTAAAGGCATTATCCACAGTCTTTAATCAAAGTGTAAAACAAAATGGGTCAGTTCTAAAATTTAGATAGGCTACCAGTTTCTAGGGCCAGTGAGGATAAGCACCTCCCTTGAAGAATATGCCCAGGTGCATTTTTGCTGTTTAACGCTTGCAGTAAAGCTATTAATGTATTCCTGTGCACACACATAATACAAACCAGAAAAAAGACTTTTCTTACCTTACTGATTTCAAAACCAAACACTTCTTCAAAATAGGCTGGCTGGCTGATTAAGAGCAAATAAAATGTCCAGCTTCTGCAAAAATTGGCTACAATAATGGCATACACTGGCATGGATGTGAAGAACCGACGCCATGGAGTTTTGAATTTCTGCAGAGAAGGAGCAGAGATCTCTTGTTATCTGATACCTTCTAGATGCGCTGTTTTATGATTTCCATACGTTCCAGATGGGACATTCAACAGACGTGCTAGCTGGGGATACATCCACCCAGGGTGGAAAGCCAAAAGCTGTAGGACACACTATATTAAGCAAGTAATTGAATAAATGAAGGTAAAATTGCCTGGAGCATTTTAAAGCCCCACAGAGGAGCTGGCTAACTTACAAATATATACAAATACTGACCATCAGGGGATTCATCAGGGTGGCGCTCTCTCCGATGCTTTCCTCTATGTACTTCCTCTCTTCCTCCGTGATGGTTGGGTGCTTGGCCGGACTCTCATAGGAAACCATCAGCCAGAATAAATACCAGAAAATACCAAAGCTCCCTGCAAAGACAGAAGTGCAGAATAACCAGTGAGAGGAACAGAATAGAATAGAATAGAATAGAATAGAATAGAATAGAATAGAATAGAATCTGGAAGGGACCTTGGAGATCTTCTAGTCCAGCCCCCTGCTCAAGCCCGAGAATCTATACCATTTCAGACAGGTGTCTAGTCTCTTCTTAAAAACGTCGAGTGATGAAGCCCCCTCAACTTCTGAAGGCAAGCTGTTCCACTGGTTAATTGTCCTCACTGTTAGGAAGTTTCTCCTTAATTCCAGGTTGCTTCTCTCTCTCTCAGTTTCCAACCATTGTTTCTTGTCCTGCCTTCAGGTGCTTTGGAGAATAACGTGACCCCCTCTTCTTTGTGGCAGCCCCTCAAATACTGGAATACTGCTATCATGTCACCCCTATTTTTTTAAGAAGAAGAAGAAGAAGAAGAAGAAGAAGAAGAAGAAGAAGAAGAAGAAGAAGAAGAAGAAGAAGAAGAAGAAGAAGAAGAAGAAGAAGAAGAAGAAGAAGAAGAAGAAGAAGAAGAAGAAGAAGAAGAAGAAGAAGAAGAAGAAGAAGAAGAAGAAGAAGAAGAAGAAGAAGACGGTATAGGCAATAGTCTGCAACCTGATCATATTGGCGATCCTGTTTTTATCAGCAGCCGCACGAAAAAGTGCTGCTGAATTTTGTCCAAACCAATCCCTTAGATTTTGAAGCCACAATGTTCTTCTTCTGCCTGGACCTCGTTTGCCTTCAATCTTTCCCTGGAGGATTAAATGGAGTATGCTGTATTTTTCTGGGTGTCGCATCACATGTCCGAAATATTCTAATTTTCGTTTTTTAATTGTTTTGATGATTTCCCTTGGCTTTCCCAGGCGGCTTATCACCTCCTCATTTCTGATCTTGTCAACCCAGCTTATACGTAATAGCTGCCTGTAAATCCACATTTCAAATGCTTCTAGTCTCTTCAGGTGGCCTTCTGTCAGAGACCAACTCTCTACTCCATAGAGCAGGATAGAAAAAATAGCATCTAACAAGCCTGATTTTCAGTCTTAGGCTTATGTCATGACTGCAGAAGACCTTTTTCATTTTGAAGAATGCTGTTCGGGCTTTTTCTCTCCTTGTCTTTACTTCAATGGTCATGTCCCAGCTTTCATGTAAATTAGAACCGAGGTGTGTGATCCTTTCAACTTTTTCTAGTGGTATTCCTTCGGAATTTATTGGTGGTAAATTAACAGGTTGTTTGCTGACGACCATGATCTTGGTTTTTGAGGTGTTAAGCTTCAAGCCGTATTTTTCAGATATTTTTGTGACTCTGTTGATGAGGAGCTGAAGGTCTTCATGCTTACTGGCAAGCAGAACTGTATCGTCAGCATATCTTAAGTTGTTGAGCCAAACACCGTTTACTTTGATGCCAGCATCAATGTTCTCCAGTGCCTCGTTGAAGATTGACTCAGAATAGATATTGAACAACAGTGGAGACAGAATACATCCCTGTCTGACCCCTCTTCTTATTTCTGCATCAGCTAAGTATTTTTGGCCTAGTCTCACATTTGCTACCTGATGCCAATACAGATTCTTTATTATTTGGATGTCTTTGTCATCTAGTCCCCCTTGTTTCAGGATTTCTAATAGTTTGCTGTGTCTTATTTTATCAAAAGCTTTTTCAAAATCAATGAAGCACATGTAAACACTGTGATTGACATCTCTACAACGCTGTACAAGAACCTGAATGCTGAACAGTGCATCTCGTGTACCAAGATTGTTTCTGAAACCAAATTGTGTGTTACCTAGACGCTCTTCAGTTTTGTTGTATATTCTTGTGTGAATTATTCTCAGGAATATTTTCAGAGCATGACTCATTAAGCTTATTGTTCTGTATTCGGTACACTTCTTTGCATTTATTTTTGGGGGGATTGTCACAAAGGTTGATTTTAGCCAATCATTTGGTATCTTTCCTGTTTCATATATCTGATTGAAGAGCTGATTGAAGACCAGCCAAACCCAAGTCCTGCAGCCATTCTTCATATCTTTTAGTCTCCAGGCCTTTGATCATCTTAGTTGCTCTTCTCTGAATTTTTCCAAAGTCTCTCAACATCTTTTTTGTAGTATAGTGACCAATTATGATTTTTTCCCACTCTTGGGTGAAGGTGCTCGCCACCACTTTTAAGTCAGGGGCTAACTAACTCAGCATAAAATTTGTGACTCTGATCGCCCATTCTTATCTGGCTTCAATTGCTTATGTTTCCCATCATTCCAGTGATCTGACTTCTTGCCAAGTTGATGGGTGGTGGCAAAATGTAACAGACCTGGATGCTTTCTGCAGACGGTGGTGGAATAAGTGGAAACATTTACAACAGATAGTCCTCAACTTACAACCACAATTAAGCCCAGTTGTTAAGCAGGTCATTATGTGACTGTGCCCGATTTTACAACCTCTTTTGTGTTGGCTGTTAAGCAAGTGCCATATTCACTAAGCCAACCCATTGGGATTTAAAAAAATTTTTTTTTGCCTGAAACTGGAAAGTAAAGCCATTTTCCTGCAAAAATGTTTTAAACCATGGTCACGTGACTCTGGATCTCTGCAAATGGCAGGCCGGTTGCTGATTGTGGTCACATCACCTTGGGGGTGGAGGTCGAGGCTGGCCATAAGAACTTGAAACCCAGGTTGTAAGTTCCTTTTTGGGGGTCTGTCGTAACTGGCTGCTAAGCAATTAGTCGTAAGTCAAGGACCACCTGTACTTTAACATCTGTATGGATGGAGATGGCTTATGGCGATCTTATTGGGCTGGGAACGAGATGAAGGCAATGGCACAGAGACATGGAGGATAAAAAATCTGCTAAAGCATATTTGGGCTGTGATTAAGTCCCAGTGAAGAACGGCCCAATATGGCAGCCATCGCTTTTGGGCCAGTTCACTTACCATAGACGTAGAATACAGAGCTCCATCCTGAATATTGAACTAGAATCCCAGCAAGAGGCATGGCCACCACCGCCCCTGCATAAGAACCTGGAAAGTTATGTAGGAAATATTAGCTAAATATACAAGCCAGGATTCCTCATTCCCATCAGCCTTTGAACTGATACCACAATTTCTCTTTGATTTGAAAATGCCATTCTTAGTTGTGGTTGTAATTTTTACACAAGAGAGAAAAACAGACAATAAAACCCCACCCGCAAGAGGAACGGGAGCTAATAAATAATGGTGAAATTAAAATGTAATTCCTTAATAATTTATCAGCAACACTAATTGAACTGGAAAGGAAACAAGAAGGGTAGAAGCTATAAAATAAAATTACTAATAATATTTACAGCTGCATGAGACTATGTTGTTTCCAAGTAAACATTATAGAAATTACGTTGCCTATGAATACGAGCACTGATGGATATCATGATATTGTATTGAATGCTTTGGGCAACCACTATTTTAATTTTATTACTAAATTATTATGGAAAAACAATGCCTCAGCAACAATAAGGCAAAAATGTGAAAGCAACTTAATAGCCATTTTTAGTGAGTTCATAAACCAGTCCTGTGATGATTCAACTCATGGGATGAGAGAGAAAACTCTAGTGAAGTATTTTGATCTAGAGTTTTGCACAAAGGCTAAATCTGTGTTTTTCCAACTTGGCAAATGTAAGATGTATGGACTTCAACTCCCAGAATTCCTCAGCCATCATGCTGCTTGAGGAATTCTGGGAATTGAAGTCCATATCTATCTTAAAGTTGCTAAGCTTGTAAAATATTGGGTCTCAATCAAAGATTCAACTTTCCAGAAGTCAACAACTGTCAGCTTTAAGAAACAAGGCTATCTTACCACAGAAAGCTGTTGTGGCCAGGCGGCTACGTTCCAAAGGGGGTGCCCATTTGCTCCAAATACCATGGCATGCTGGGTAGGTGACTCCCTGGAGGTGAAGGGCAGAGAATAATATAAAGAGGAAGGCCAGAAATTAGATTCATTAGTTTCTTAGCTCTTTCCCATTCAGACTGTTCTGTCAGAAAATGATAGATACATGGAGACAGACAAAAGTTCATAGAAGAATTAAGCCTGTTGACCGTGAGAAAGTAGATAGGATCCTGAGAGCTGTCAGTGTGATCACCTGTGCATTAGATCCATGTCCTTTAGTTGGTCAATGTCTCCCCAGGAAATCATGAGTTGGTGGGTCCAAGCAGTGGTAAATTCATCCTTGAGAGAGATGGTGGCTGTCTGTCGTCTTCTTGAGAAGACATTGCAAGAAGACTGTACAATATTGGATAATTTCTGACCTGTCTCCCATTGGAGAAGATTGTTGAGAAGGTGGTCATTCTGAGGCTTCAAAAAACTCTGGAGGAAGGGGATATCTGGATCTGCTTCTGAATCAAAGCAGAGTACCAAACTGGCACTGATCTCCCATGATAATCTAGGAAAGGACTGGGATGGGAGGTGGGGGTGGATCCATTCTGGGTCTCCCTGATCTCTGAGTGGCCTTTAATAGCATCAATAAATTGTATCCTTCTGAATTGGCTTAGGTTATGGGGAGAGTTACTCCCCCCAATCTGGGATTGTTCGGACCACCAGCCTGTCTTTTGAAAGGCTCTAAAGATTTGGCTTTTCTCTCAGGAGCCTTGTGGGGTCATTTTAATTATTCTGGTTGTGGGACTGTGAGAAGCTGGCTCCTTTGTGAGATGGCTTATTTTTTATTTCTCTTAAAGTTGCCCTGAGTTTCTAATTGGACAGCTATGGAAAAATAAAAATAAATAAATAAAATAAAATAAAATAATAAAATAATAAAATAAATAAATAAATATAATAAAATAATAAAATAAAATAAATAATAAAATAAAATAAAATAAAATAAAATAATAAAATAAAATAANAAAATAAAATAAAATAAAATAAAATAAAATAAATAAAATAAAATAAAATAAAATAAAATAAAATAAAATAAAATAATAAAATAAAATAAAATAATGACTGAATAGGGCAGTGATAGCGAATCTTTTAGAGACCGAGTGCCCAAACTGCAATCCAAAACCCACTTATGTATCGCCAGGTGACGAGTCGGTGTGGCCCATTCGGCGGGTGCAGCTACAATGGGCTTGGCAGACTGGGTGGGCGTGGCCACTGGATGGGTGTGGCTGCAGTAGTCATGGCAGATTGGGTGGGCAAGGCCGGGGTGGGCTTGGCCACCTTGATGTTGCTTATGGGGAGGGATACCTGTGGGAGCCGGGCAGGGTTGGGGGAGATCCAGGTGGTTTCTGACACGTGGGATGGTGGGCTCCCCAATGGCAGCTCCAGGCTGGCTGGCCTTAGGCCAGTGATGGTGAACTTTTAAGAGACCACATGTGCTGGGGCGATGGCGCGTGCCCACAGAGAGGGCTCCGCGTGCCGCCTCTGGCACGCGTGCCATAGGTTCGCCACCACTGGAATAGGGCAAGCCCAAGTCTGCTTGCTAAGATGAAGAATAATGGGATCTTTCTCCCATTCCAAGTATGGATCTATCTAAAGTGAATCTCATTTCAACTCTAATAGGAGTTGAGAACATATTAGATGTGAGAACAGAATCTAAAGTATGCCTACAAGCAGCCAACCAATTCAGGGACTTAAGACAGGCCATTTAGCATTCAGAGCTGTGTCTTCCAACTTCACTCTTCCCTCCCCTCTACCTGTCACCTAGACAATCTGATGATTGGGCTGATCCTACAGCTGAGATATCAAACAGCCTTCTCCAGTTTGTTGCCCCTTGGGTTGTCTTGATCTTTACTTTCCATAGCGCATGGCATGGACTTTTGTCATGGTGGCAGGCTAAAAGCCCAACACATCAGGCTGAGGAAAGCTGGTGCAAATAATACAAAAAGCAAGCCCCTTGTATGGAGCTGCTGTAAGGGAATATTATTGCCAGGCAGATCAAGAACCTCTTTGTAGGGCAAAACAGGATTTATCCCACTGAGGGCAATAGCATGGCATGATTTGATGTTTTTCTTACACCTGTAGATACTGTTTAGATGTTCGTCTTATAGCTGTATGATACTTTCAGCCAATTGAATATCTCTCAATGTTTATTACTGTTAGCAATAAAAGTGTTTACGACCAATGTTTATTTTTTATTGGATTCTTGCAATACCCTGGAGATTCAGCCAGGCTTTATTTACTGTAAAGTGGAAGAAGCTCATAGAATTATAGAATTGTGGAGTTGAAAGAAAGGACAAGGGTCATCTTCTAATCCAACCTTGGTGGGAGATGGAAGAGGAACACTTAGGGATATTGGGAAAACTATCTTCTGCAACTCCTATCCATTCCTGTGTCAACTTTGTGGCTACAAAAGCAAACATGTGAAGCGATCAGCCTTACCTCAACAAGCCCTTGTAGGATCCTCACAAACATCACACAGCCAAAATGGACCCGAGCAGCTGAGGGAATCAGCATGTTCAAAGTAGAGGTTGCCACAATGGCAAAGCCAAAAACCCTACAATCAATAGAAGAGGGTGTTAGTAGAAGTAGTAGCTAACAGCATTGTTTACTTTGTGCATGGAATTTCTATTTGCATCGTTCTCCTACGAAAGTGTTCTAGTTTAGAGTGTCTCTTTTCACTAATCATCTATTCAAAATCAAAGTTTCATTTTTTTCCACCCCAAGCACACAGTCCAGAAGTGATTTCCAAGTAGAAACAAAAGTACTTATATATTTTTCTTTAATCAAAGCAGTCAATTACCTGTATGATTCAAATTGGCATCTTTAGAAAAGAACATGCAGCATGAATTGTAACTGTTCAACTATAGTGTTGGACTGAGTCTATAGATTGAGATCAACCGAGACCTGATTTAATGGCAGTTTCAAGAGTTGCTGGTCTCTTAACTTTCATTAGCCCAGCCAGGATGGCCAGTGGTGATGGGCAGCAGAAGACCAAGACACCAACATTTTGATGGCCGAAGATTCCCTAGCTCAGGGGTCCCCAACCCCAGTCCATGGACCAGTACTGGGCCATGGCATGCCAGCAACTGGTGCTCACAAACAAGCAAAGCCCCATCCACGGGACGCAGGTAGCACACAAAACTATGCCCCCTCTGGTCCGCGGAAAAACCTCTCTCCACGGAACCGGTCCCTGGTGACCAAAAGGTTGGAGACCTCTGCCCTAGCTGATCTACACACAAACATATATTCTACTTCCCCCCTCAAAACATTTACCTGTTAGCTGCAAATTTCTGTGCTATGAACCCCCCTGGGATCTGAGTGACGATGTAACCCCAGAAGAATGACCCGTGGATCATGCCTACTGTCTCTGGATCCCAGTTGAACTCAGCTTTCTAAGCAGGAAAGGATAAGAAACAAAAGACAGAGGGACACATGAGCAGGCATTTCCTGATCAGAGCCACCTATAGTACCTCCTAGATAGGACTTGGAGCAGCTTGGAGAAATGCAACTGAGAGAGTTTATCGCATTCTGCAGAAAAGAAAAAGGAAGAAAAAGACTTGCGAAAATCATTTCAGGTAAATGAAATTGTACGTGGACCATTAAGTCCAGAAGTTCAACTTATTTACAGTACGTGCACAGCTGACAGCACATATTAACCTGAATGGAGGCTGAAGAGAGTGTTTTTGAGAATGTAAAGAGTGAAGAGTGCATTCCTCTGAGACCTGGCACCAGAATACCCAGAATTAGGGGAAACACATAAGTGATTGTCAGCAGTGGTGGGATTCAAATATGTGAACAACTGATTCTCTGTGTGAATTCTACTTCTGGAAGTCCATTCTGGGCCTGGGCAACAAAAAATTAGCTACCAGTTCTGCCAAAGTGGTGCAAACCGGCTGAATCCCACCACTGATTGTCAGGCTTGTTCTCTCTTCCTGATGTTTATTTTTAGAAATTAAGCATCTGTTAAGAATTGTGTACATTTTGTTTTCTGTGTGAGTGGCGGCTTGTATTTTTATAAACCCAGGCTTCTCAGACTTCTAGAGCTTCGTCTTCGTCTGTTGAGCTGATGCATCCTGCACAATTCTAAAAAAGGTGCAGAATGTCTGTTGATATGAATGCCTCCCTAAAAAACAAAACAAAAAAAACCCTGAACCAAAACACAGTTACTTTCCATTAACAGAGGACAAAAACAGCCTCACCTTCACAATGACTTTATCCCCTTCGTAGACGGTGTTATTATTAACCATGCTGACAATGGCCACACCCAGGTTGCATCGGATGCCAAAGCTGATGCAGAAACCCAGACCGCAGAGGATGGCAATGATGTAACGGCGAGGCAGGCCAAAGCAAGTGCAGTCTATGACGGGCTGGGTCTTCTCGGTCACTTCAACAGGCCGCCCCTCTTCTGTCAGCTCGATGGTCTCCCCGCCGGGCTGCTTCCGTTCTAGAATTCTGGGGGTGGAGACGGCAGGCAGGGTGGGAACAAAAAATGGGTGTATGTGACAAAATTAGCACTTTGATGTAGTGGTAAAGGTGATGAACACCAGGAAATCAGGACTTCTAGTCTTCACTTAAGCATGAAAGCTGGTGACTGCCTTTGGGCCAGTGGCTGTGATTCACTTAACAACCACCTTGCCCTAGCAACTAAAATTTTGGTCCCAATTGTGGTCCTAAGTCAAGGACTACCTGTATTATGTTCAATGAAAAATCTAGACAGATTAGAATGATTAGAATAGAATAGAATTGGAAAGGGCCTTGGAGGTCTTCTAGTCTAGCCCCCTGCTCAAGCAGGAGGATCTATACCATCTCAGACAAGTGACTGTCTAGCCTCTTTTTAAAAATCTCCAGTGATAGATTGCCCACGATTTCTGGAGGCAAGCTGTTCCACTGGTTAATTATCCTCACTGTCAGGAAGTTTCTCCTTAATTCCAGGTTGCTTCTCTCTTTGATCAGTTTCCAACCATTGTTTCTTGTCCTGCCCTCTGGTGCTTTGGAGAACAACGTGACCTCCTCTTCTTTGTGGCAGCCCTTGAAATACTATAATACTGCTATCATGTATCCCCTATTTCTTCTTTTCTTTAGACTAGCCAAACCCAAGTCCTGCAGCCATTCTTCATATGTTTTAGTCTCCAGGCCTTTAATCATCCTAGTTGCTCTTCTCTGAATTTTTTCCAAACTCTCTTTTTTGTGATATGGTGACCAAAATTGGCTGCAGTAGTCCAGGGTTTTATAAAGTGGTACTTACCTTGTGTGATCTTGATTCTATGCCTCTGTTTATGCAACCCAGGATTGTATTAGCTTTTTTGGCTGCTGCTGAAAACTGCTGGCTCATGTTTAAGTGATTGTCCACTAGGACTCCAAGGTCCCTCCCACAGTTACTGTTTTTAATCCAGGTCTCGCCCAATCTGTACTTATACCTTTGATTTTTCCTGCCTAAATGTAAAACTTTGCTTTTCTCCACATTGAAACTCATTTTGTTGGATAGGGCCCATTGTTCAAGTTTGTCAAGATCTTTTTGGATCCTGAGTTTGTCTTTTGGGGTGTTGGCTACTCCTATCAGTCTAGTGTCATCTGCAAATCTGAGGAGTTCCCCTTCAATTCCCTCATCTAAGTCATTTATGAAGACATTGAAGAGTACTGGGCCTAAGACAGAACCCTGTGGTACCCCACTGCTTAATTTTCTCCATGTGGATGTGGTGCCAGGATGACAGAACTCTTCTTCAGATTCAGTGTTAAAGACAAATTTCTTGTCAGGGATGATATAAAAATACAGGTATTATTTAACATATAACAAGGTTGCCCAGGCATTCTTCATTAAGACCTCCATCTCTGGGCTGCAGAGACCCACATGACTGTTAGATGGCAGCAAAGGAGTTTTGTATTTTTGTGGCCGTATTTTTTTTATTTTATGTATTTATTTAAAAATCACTCCATTAACTGATTCTAAGGCATACAGCTGGATGCAACTGCACAATCAAAGTTCTGTCTTTTTTTTTTTAACACACATTGTGCATTGCAACACACATAAAAACACGGAGGGCTTCCATCATGCAGGTGTGGCCTCCATCTTCTTCTTGTCATTTGATCTCTCTCTCTCTCTCTGCAAACTTCCCTCAATATAGCTATGTGTTTTACAAGCTTCTATTTTTTTTTTTTTTACCAAATAAGGAATTATATTTTGACCTTCTTCCCTTGTAAATACAAGGCAAGGCAGGGATTCAATTTATGCCTTCCTGGTGCTCATCAGAATTCACTGACTCTTGTGAGTTGGTGAGCAAAAAAGAGAGAAAAACTCAATTGCTTTCATGTATGCAAAATAAGAGATTTATCTTGGACAATACCAGGCATAAAATCAATAAAACGAAATCAATAATGAAGGGAAGAGCACTGTTTCGTGACTGGCAGATGCACTTAGCATGGGAAGAGGTTCTACCATAGGAGGCAGGCTAACGATGCCAGGAGGGTTGAACTGTCCCGTAACTATGGGGAAGGGGATATACATGGGCAGGTCAGTATATTTCCTTTCCTAGGGAAAATTTGGTACAGTTACTTTATTTTAGAAAAACAAAAACCCTAAACTAAATCTATTTTTGGTCTTGGCAACTTTCATGTACGTCTTATTTCAGATGGGCAAAAAAGCCTCTCATCAAGGAACTAATACAGGAGAGAAGCAACCTAGAACTAAGGAGAAATTTCCTGACAATTAGAACAATTTAATCTGCGGAACGACTTGCCTCCAGAAGTTGTGGGCGCTCCAACACTGAAGGTTTTTAAGAAAAGATTAGACAGCCATTTGTCTGAAATGGGGTAGGGTTTCCTGCTTGAGCAGGGGTTTGGGCTAGAAGACCTCCAAGGTCCCTTCCAACTCTGTTATTCTGTTATCAATTTTTGGCAGTACTAGAGGTACTAGCAAGGGGGTCTGCTGGTGGCCCTGGGACTGCCTTACAGGCCCGTCCTGGTCTAATGAATGGAAAGGGGACTTTGGCCTACTTCCCAATCTGTACTGAAGAATTAATAGACCCTGTTTCACTGAAAGCAGAGTGACCTGTAACTAGGCGGCTGTGAGAAGGATTTGCAAAAGTTCCCTCCTGCCAAAGATTGTAGAGAAGCTTGGAGCCCTCCCAAGTCCTTGTCCGTCACCAGCCTCTTCCTGCTCTTCCATACTGTCTTGTCAGCCTGGTGGAGAGGCGGGTGCAACCCACGCAGAAGCTGTTCTGAGCAGAGCCGATGCAGATGGGCAGCGAGCTCCGTCTCGGCTCCAGGCCCAAGAATTCTTTCTCTTGCTTAGCAACCAAGGAACACGGCCCTTCTTCTCAATCCTGCTTTTCCTGACCCTCTCTTCCCTCATCCCAAAATTCTCCCTGCCCTTCTTCTAAGTCTTCCGTACCTCTCCTGCCTTCCTCTGCCTCGCAGGAATGCAATGGTAACGTTTCGGTCCTGGCACGAAGGAAATATTCTATATTTTTCTGAAACTCCCCAGTGCTTAGGAGACCAGATGGACAGAATGGTCCGTGTTCATTTTCTCAAACTTAAATTCATTGCGTTCCATTTCTGCCTGGTTTTTTTTAATCCTTTTCCTTTGGGCTGCCCCCCCAAATCATACATATTTCCCTGTGCATTTTTCTCATTATTGTATTTTTGCACACTGCCTACCAATTTTCTTGGTATTGTCGTATACTATTTGATTGAATACAAATGCATTTTAATGCCATGTTTGCAAATATATGCATCGTTTCCCTAATATGCACATTCTGTATGCCTTAAAAAAGTAAGAACACTATTGTAGAATACAGAGAGGTGTGAATATCAAAGAACCACTGTATTTTTGTCTCACTCAGGAAGTGCTAATTTGGTAAGTTTAGTAAAATTTCACCTCCGTTTCTACTTCTGGCCTCTATTTCTACCATTCTCTGTTCCTTTCATTAATTACTGAATTATTTATTAAACCTGTGAAACTAGTTGAGATGCATCTAATACTAGTGAAAAAGAAATGGGACATGGGATTTGTGGATTTATAAAACACCCCTTTGTCTTTCCAGATTTTTAACTCCTAATTCTTAGTTTTCAGGTACATGCAGTGGGTATAAGTACACTTGCCATCAATACAGGTGGTCCTCAACCTACGACCACAATTGAGCCCAAAATTTCTATTGCTAAGCGAGACAATTGTAAAGTGAATTTTATCCCATTTTACAACCTTTCTTGCCACACTTGTTACGTGAATCACTGCAGTCGTTAAATTAGTAATACGGTTGTTAAATGAATCTGGCTTCCCCATTGACTTTGCTTGTCAGAAAGCCGCAAAAGGGAATCACATGACCCTGGGACACTGCAACCGTCATAAATATGAGTCAGTTGCCAAGCATCTTAATTTTGATAACATGGGATTCTGGGATTCTGCAATGATTGTATGTGTAAAAACAGCCATAAATCACTTTTTTTCAGTATCGTTGTAACTTTGGTCACTAAATGAATTGTTTAAATCAAGGACCCCCTGTATAAAAAATGGATACATTTATTTAGATTTTAGATTTTAGATTTTATTAAATTTATACCCCGCCCTTCTCCCGGAGGACTCAGGGCGGCTTACAGCCAGTTTAAAACAGTGATACAATACAAAATTTAAAAAGATTAAAAATAACTATTTAAATTTGGCCGCTTCTACTAAAAATTTAATTTAAAACCCCTTTAAAATACCCCTAGGCCAGTCCTGCCT